TTATATAATCTCAAGAAATATCTTGGATTTTGATCATGGTTACATAAAATCTATTAAGTATCTAGGGATGGTGGATACCTTTAAATAATATCACCATTTAAATAAAAGGATGCAGGTGAAAAGGGCCCAGAGAATGTGCTATTTTATTCAGTATACCTTATCTTCTTTCCTTGTTTAGACAATTATTAGAATAACTAAAAAAAAAACCAAAAAAACTAAAATCCACAAAAAATGATATGCATGTTATCTAACATTTAAAGCAAAACTATTTTCCTATAACTTTTAAATATTATTCATTGCATTTTAACCTATGTTAGATATGTTATCAATTTATTAATCACTAAAATTAAGTGGTACACGTTCATTTTTATGAATGATTCCTCTTCTCCTGGTATATACTGAAAATACAATCTAAATTGCAAAATTCATTTTTAAAAGTTCTCAATCAAAATTTGTATAAAAGGCAAGGTACAATTACAGGAAAAAGAGTCTTACAAAAGAAATACTTTATTATACTATTATCAATGAGAATTTAAAAAATCTACATATAGAGCATATAAAATAAGAAAAATGCTGACTTGGAATGTTAATCATGAGGAAAATAAATTTTTAGATATTTACAAGAGACACATTTAATTTATATACACAGGTTCAACAGAATATAAGAACTTATATATTAATTTAATATCTAAGGTAGAGAAGGAAACGGCAACCCACTTCAGTATTCCTGCCTGGGAAATCCCATGGACAGAGGAGCCTGGTGGGCTACAGTCTTTGGGGTTGCAAAGAGATAGACTCAACTTAGCGACTGAACACCACCACCACCTAAGGACAAAACTTATACTGCTTTAATCCAAGCTTTCTACAAATTTTGGCTTTCATTTGACAAGGGTAAACCATTAATTACTTACTAAGCTAGGAATAGAAATTTTATGATATTGGGATGTTGACTTTGGCTTCCTCAACTTTAAAATTTTTTTAGATTTTTAAAAAGTAGATTTACTGAATTATAATTTACATACAACAAAATTCACCCTTTTTAGGTGTACAGTTTGATATATTATACAAATTTGTACTGTCATGGAACCAATTTAGTTTTTTTTAAAAATTACCTTACTTAGTTCTCTAATTTGAGCCAGTAATTAGCAGCTTGTTCCCACCCTTTCCTGAACTCTATTTCAGCCCTTTTGCTCACTGAATATATAGATTAGAAAAGCTTAATAAAGATGCTTGTTTATCCCAGGCTGCAGTCCTCATTTTGCCCCAAATAAAACTTAACTTACAACTCTCAAAAAAAAAAAAGATGGCTTGTTTAATGCATTTCCCAAAGTTGATAATTTGTGGAAACTGTACATTTCAGGATAAAGCTTAAACTGATACAGTACAAGTTAATTTAGTATAACATTTGGTTTTATTTTTACAGCCCACATTAATATACTTTTGCAGGAAAAATTAGAAAAATAAAAGAACTAATGAATAAGATTCACAGAATTCCTGCATTTTTCCTAAGAATCCTTAAACACTTTTCTGGATTCATTATCAAAATTCATACCAACAAAACTGAAGGAATAAAATGTCTGAAAATTTCCACAGAGACATTCACAATTACAATCTTTAAATAAAAGATTTTTCAAATGATTTGAATATGAATTTTTTACTGTCTTATTCTTGGATATACTGACTAAGGGCTTAAAATTTTTTCCATTATCATTTGGTTCTATAATTTCAGGAAAAACAATTTATCTAATAGTTGTGTATATAACAGATTTAAAAATACTTCAGTTACACTCTTCAGTCTGAACAGGCAACCTGGCTTGAAATGTTTGACACTTTCTTTCTAGGAATTGTCATATTGCCCAAATTTGGTTATTATTAGCAGCTTTGTTGTTATAAAAAGAGGATAAAAGCGTATAACAAAAATCTATCCTATCTTTTCTAGTCCTGTAATTATCATAAGCAATTTGATTTATCTGCCTTGGAATTCACTTGCTAGGAAAATCATACACAATGTTCAGGCTACAAATTAAATACTGGGTGGTTATGCTTTACTATACGACAAGTAAAAGCTTGTAAAGAAAAGTAGAAGCAGAAAAGCATGGCAGGCTTCACTGACACTGCAGTCTTTATAATGACACACATTTACCCTCCTTGGGTAAAAAGTAAAAGTAGCTCATAGCCACAAAATTTTGTATTAATGCTTAGTATGGCATACTACTTAATTGAAACATTCTTAATTAAACATGCCCCACCAAAAAACCTCACCAAATTGCATTTGCCACCAAATGACTAATAAGTACACAACAGTTGGAAACTGTCAAAATATTTTACAGCTCAATTGTAATTACCAACCAAGTCTAAGCACGCCCCGAGTGGGCGTTAACTACAACTTGGGGGACGCAAAACAGTAAGCGGCAGTCATTTTTGTGTGTGTGTGGTGGTTTCTAACTTAAGCATTTAAAACTCCTAAAGAACTCAAAAAGACTTTTTTGTCCTTAATGAAAAGTTTGTAAAACATCAATATAAGATACAGTAAGTTATCATTTTCATGGATTCACTAGTGAAAAGAGCCTTTTAAAATATTATCTGGCTAATCTCTTACCATTATAATTCAATATATTGATTACTTGTTTATCCGTCTTTGAGAATGTTTTGTGATCTTAAGACATAAATATTTTCTGCCATTCTTATCACAATAGATGTAGCCAAAAATAGATGGGAAGGTGTGATCATGGAGAAATGTCAATATGGAAGTGCAGCTGGTGAGTTTCCAGGGGGGAGAATGCACACAACGTTTGCCATCTGAGTAGGACAGCATCCAGCCACTCTTCCCCTCTCTAGAAAGGGTACCAAAGAGCAGACTACAGCTTGAGACTCTGTGATCATCCAAACTTGTTATCTCTTACCAACAGAATGTAACTTGGTTAATTACTAACCATAAGCATAGGTGGAATACTACTTCCAGATATCATATCCATCTACTATTCCCAGTATCAGTTGGAGACAGAAATAGGAAGCAGAGTTTACCACAGAATATAGAAGCTTTGTTTTTCTGAGTCCACTAACTATTTTTCCTGAGAGGTATTAGTCAGAGGAAAGGGTTCATAAAGCAGATGAATAATACATTCATATCATTCCATTGTTTCAAACATAAAGTACAATTAATTAATTTTAAATACATTTCAAAATGTAACTATGGTTACACAGAGAACTTCAGTTATACTCTTTTTATCTTAAGCTGAAAGATGGACACACCGGTATTAATTGTCAATAATCATTTTACCTTTTATTTGACTGAAAACTTTCACTGAAAATCACAAGAAAAAAAAAAAATCACAAAGTAGTGATCACACATGCCATCAGCTGTTTAAGCTAGTTATTTAATAAATGGATTCTGACTGGATCATAATATAAGTTAATAAAAAGTTTAGAAGACTTAAGTTTGAGGTTCTAAATGCGTCTCAGAAGACTTATAATCACTAAACCATTATGATCACAACTATATGGGATGTTCAAAGCAGAAATGTAAATACTGATTACTGCCATGTAGTTTGAGTAGTTAAATAAGTTAGCTGTAAGTAGTGGGAAATATTTTGGTTTTTTAAAACAATTTTCTATACTGTATATTTGGACACAAGGTTTATAGGAGACAGAAATGTACATTCCAGTAATATTATATTGGCTGCCGCCGCTGCTGCTGCTAAGTTGCCTCAGTGGTGTCCGACTCTATGCAACCCCACAGACGGCAGCCCACCAGGCTCCCCTGTCCCTGGGATTCTCCAGGCAAGAACACTGGAGTGGGCTGCCATTTCCTTCTCCAATTAATATTGGCTAGTGGTCTCCAACTTTCATCACAAGCCAGTATCAGAAAAAAAAAAGTAGAACATTCTCATATATATACATTTATCTATGTATTATACAATGTACTACTGTATATTATAAAACATATACTGTAATTAGAAAATTTTTAAAAGGAGAGAAAGATGAAATTAGCAATTAAAGTATTTATTAGTGGTAATAAAAGATGATTTTTCTCTCATAAAAAAGAACGATGACAAAAATGACTTAATTATTAAAAAACCTGGTTTTATAATTTGAAGGTCTAGTTCTAAAATGTATATGTTAATACTTGTACTTGAATGGCTGTCATAGCTGGAAAAGATATATCACAGTTCAATTCAGTTCAGTTCAGTCACTCAGTTGTGTCCAACTCTTTGCAACCCCATGAACCGCAGCACCCCAGGCTCCCTGTCCCTCACCAACTCTCGGAGTCCACCCAAACCCATGTCCATTGAGTCGGTGATGCCATCCAACCATCTCATCCTCTGTCATCCCCTCTCCTCCTGCCCTCAATCTTTCCCAGCATCAGTGTCTTTTCAAATGAGTCAGCTCTTCACATCAGGTGGCCAAAGCATTGGAGTTTCAGCTTCAACATCAGTCCTTCCAATGAACACCCAGGACTAATCTCCTTTAGGATGGACTGGTTGGATCTCCTTGCAGTCCAAGGGACTCTCAAGAGTCTTCTCCAACACCACAGTTCAAAAGCATCAATTCTTTGGCACTCAGCTTTCTTTATAGTCCAACTCTCATATCCATACATGACCACTGGATATATCACAGAGATACATAAATATAAACTCGAAAAGTACATTACTGGCTATGCTCACTGAATCAGGATACTCATTTTTCAATTCCACATATCAACCATGCAAAAAATTTTGGTTGATACTCACCTAGTTCTTATTTCCTGATGTCAATTAGTTGCAGTTAAAATCCCACTAAAATTTTTTATTTGACCTTTAAAGCAGGTTAAAAAATTATTTCAGTTTCTTAATGTGTATTGATAAGAGAGTTTAAATAGATGAGACACAGGTGTTGTTTTTAGCAACAAAATAATACGAAAATGTTTTTGTAGCACTCTATAGGCTGGCTAACCGGCATACATTCTCATGCTTACTTCTAAGGATTCAGGAAAAGGCTGGTACTCACTTTTCCTAACTTACCTTGTAGCAAAGGATAGCCATACGAATAGTATGGCCAACATAATGTGAGTGGAAATTTAAAAAATCATAAAAATCCAGTGACTAGAAGTGGAAGCTTGTTTTTGTAACAAAAAGGATAGACTGAGGATTCCTCTCATATTTTTACTCCCCTTTCCACGAGATTCTTTCCATCTTCTACTGGGTATGTGACTCTCTTAATATGTAGATGTGTAGGTTAAGTGAAGGTACCCATGTTATGCTATATATTAAATGTTAGTAAGGCTTAATTTCTTTCTTAATATTAGATTAAAACATGCAGATACAAGTTTGAATATACTCTTCCATACCCTGAGCACTGTCCTGAGCATCCTGGGGGTCATTTTGGAAGCCACCACTTTAAATAATACAAAGGGGTAGATATGTCCAATAAAAATACTTTCAACAATCCTGTGACTTGTTATTATCCATATTTTAGAGAAAAGCTTCAGACAGACTAAGGGAACTGATAAAAATCAAACAGTGCATGAAGAGTTTGACCATAAATGATTTTTAACATCATAAATATCAAGACTGGAGAATGTTTTTAAGGAATAAAAGTGTTTTCATTCCATTTGTCAAGCTGTATCAAATACAAATACAATTAAACTACACCAAAATCCTCAAATAAGTTATTTAAAGAAGTAACAATTAAATAGCCACATTCTTATATGAAAACTTCCATGAATTAACAATGCTGCAAGTTTACATGGTTTACACGGTGTGCGTTCATTATAATGAATTTGATATAAAAGCAATCTCAGAAAGACCTATTTTAATTCCTATTGTAAATTTTTAAAAAAAATCAATGAGAATGTAGTTTGACACAGATTCTAATAGGATGGTAAGTCATCAACAAACCTAACATTCAATGCATTCTTTCTACTAAAAATACCAAGGATGTAAAAGTATGACCCTTGGCACTGAAGAATCCGTAACTGAGTAGGATGGCACAATTAACATACTGTGATGAGAGTGATAAAACAGGTTCCTACACACTGCAATGGGATCACAGAGTAGAAAGTGGTGTCAACACATGCCTTACGTCTGACATCTGAGCTAGACTTCTGAAGGGAAAGCTGGTCCTCCTCAAAGCCCTGCAAAAATACAGAAAATCTGAAACTTCTAATGCTCACCCAAGTGGGTGTTTGGCTGAATGTGAATTATTTCAAGGTAAAATCAGAAACAAAGGCAGGTCTGAAGGTCCTAAAAGTATCAGGTCTGGGACTAAAATCAGAGGCCAAGGATAGAGGATAGATACAGAAATAGCAAAGAGTAGCAATTCTTGAAATTCTAGGTTTCAGGACTCTTTTATGCTTTTAAAAATTATTCATGACTTCCCAAGAACTTCAGTATAGGTGGACTTATCTACTGATATTTACTATATTAGAAATTAAAATAGGAAATTAAAAATATTTTAAAATTCTTTTTAGAACAACAATAAACCTTACATGTTAATATATATCTATGAAAACTATATTTCCCGAGGGAAAAAAAATTGAGAATATTGATATTGTTTCACATTTCTCTTAATCTCCTTGCTGTCTAGCTTAATCGAAGATAGTTAGATTCTCATATCTGCTCCTGTTTTTAATCTGCTGCTTCAGAAAACTAAGATCATGGCATCCAGTCCCATCACTTCATGGCAGATAGATGGGGAAACAGTGGCTGACTATTTTTCTGGGCTCCAAAATCACTGCAGATGGTGATTGCAGCCACAAAATTAAAAGACACTTACTCCTTGGAAGGAAAATTATGACCAACCTAGACAGCATATTAAAAAGCAGAGACATCACTTTGTTAACAAAAGTCTGTCTAGTCAAGGCTATGGTTTTTCCAGTGGTCATGTATGGATGTGAGAGCTGGACTATAAAGAAAGCTGAGTGCAGAAGAATTGATGCTTTTGAACTGTGGTGCTGGAGAAGATTCTTGAGAATCCCTTGGACTGCAAGGAGATCCAACCAGTCCATCCTAAAGGAGATTAGTCCTGGGTGTTCATTGGAAGGACTGATGTTGAAGCTGAAACTCCAATAATTTGGCGACCCGATGTGAAGAGCTGACTCATTGGAAAAGACACTGATGATGGGAAAGATTGAGGGCAGGAGGAGAGGGGATGACAGAGGATGAGATGGTTGGATGGCATCACCGACTCAATGGACATGGGTTTGGGTGGACTCCGAGAGTTGGTGAGGGACAGGGAGGCCTGGCGTGCTGCGGTTCATGGGGTCCCAAAGAGTTGAACATGACTGAGCGATTGAACTAAACTGAAACGTTGTTTTAATTGAATGAAGAAAATCCAGTACACAGATATATGGTGGAAAAGGGAATTTTGAAAGCCTTTTCCAACAGTTGTGGATATTCTTCTTTGATATCCAAATGGTGGATATCAAAATTCACAAATGGTGGTTTCTTAAAGGTTAGTTGTTGTGTAGAATTTGAAACCACATCAATGAACATTTTAAACTCTATTATATTAAAACCTGCTGATCTATCTTGCACTGTGAAAGTATCTATGCATAACTTTGAAACATTATCCACTGGTCATTTGGCAAATACTAATTCCATAAATCATGTAGATATTTCACATGCTGACACATTTTATTATATAATATTAAAAATAAGATTTAATATTATCAATCTGCTTAGAAAAGTCTTCTAAGTACTGGGAAGATCTCAGACTTAAAGGGGCAGATATGAATTTTCCCAAATTCTAACTTCTGCTTGAAAATTCTAATTTTATCATTGGCAACAAATGTCATCAGTTGTTCCCCTTGAAGTGACAGAATCATTTTGCTCCTTTTCAAGGAAATAACTACTAAATTGTAAAGACTAAACAACCACAGTTTGTCAGTCATTCTTTCAAGTAAAAATGGTGTTCCCTGATACAGGCACCTAGCGAAGTTTACAACTCAAGCAGTAGTGCAAGTGCTTTCCCTCAAGAAGACAGCATTTTGATGAAGTGTTCTATGCACACTGCCCATTTTGTCACATAGAATAGTAGAAGTTCGTGTACCTTAAGGATCAAGATTTAAAAATTAATGCTTTTTACTGTTTTATAAAGACATTCTCAGGTCAAACAGGCTTTTTTTTAAAAACTGAGGGTTCATGATCATGAAGAATACAATGACGACTAATAATTTGGTGCTATTGCCTTGATTTATGTGCTGGTACCAGTGGGTTTTACCTACCATTGCTTGTGCTCAATCTGTGCAAATGTCAACAGAATGAAGAAAGCAAATAATGTCTTAGTCTTATTATGAAAAATCCCTTAATTCACAAACCCATCAAACCATCTCATGTTCCTCCACAGACCACAGTTTGAGAACAGTTAGCAAAAAAACAAAAAACTAGCATCAAGACAGATGTTTTCCCTATATTCTACTATGCTAAGGGACTAAATCATGGGCTGGGAACTGGATTCATCCTGGTGATGAAACACTGTCTGCCCTCTAGTAGAGGTGGACCCAGGACTGCAACTGACAATTAAGAATGTGAATTACTCATAATATATATTTTTTACATATTCAAATTAGAAGTTAGGATAGTTGTGGGTTTTTTTACACTATTATATAATAAATACAACCAGAAAGCAATGGCGATTTGATGACTACTTGTTACTTTTTAACAGTTTTTTCTGTAAACCTGCAAAACTTTAATTTAGGTATTAAAGTTAAATCTTAAAAACTTGATGATATAACAAGTAGATGATGTGTACCTGATTAACAGATGTTGCACAGTACTGAAAAATCACTGCTGGCTCCTTTCCTACTTAACTGGTTAGAAGTCAGTGAGCAAGCAGGGTTGGGAGTACCAAGGAAGCTGTGAGCTTGGCCTACAGTGGGGAAGAAGTTCCCATTGTTATCCAGCACTCTTCCTTCCTTCACAAATATTATGGGTAGGTACTGGAGAGAATGAACACTCCCCTTAATTGTTACTTATTCCAGTCATGAAAAATTTGTGGCCAGCTTCCTCAGCAACAAATAAAATAACTGCCCTGCCCAGATAAGGAGGAAAACTGAAAAAACACAAGATTTAATGGGATCCTCTAAACACTAAGTATCTCTAAAAGTTAATTTAACACCATATAACTCAGGAGGTAAAGATGGTTTCTTGGTCCTCCAACCCCTTTAATGTATATAGTCTATACCAGTGGTTTAAAACTATTCACAGTTTTGATATCACCAAGTAAATTATTAAAGAATCTAGGTGCCATGAAAAATAAAATAATTTTTGAAAATCCTATCTTGTTCCAAAAAGTACAATCACATATATTTCATGGATGATAGTTTTAAGAAAGTAAAAAGAAATATACTTTTGCTAAAAAGTCTTCCTAAGTTTCAGGAGATTGTTACCTTTCTTCCCCAATACGTATACATGATAGATGTCTCAGTTCAAAAATACTTTAGAAACAAAGACAATCTATCAATGAAAAAATCATGAACTTTTCTTTTTTTTATAATCTCACTAAGCCTACACACCTCCACCCCAAGGGCTTGAAAGTCGCTGAGAAAGAAAGGAAAAGTTAAAAGCAAACTCGAAGAAAATAGCCTAATGCTTTTTTCGGGGGTCAGATTCTAGGACAAATGCATTAACAACAACAATATCAATGATGTAGTACTAGCAGTTAGCACTTACAGAATTTACTATGTACCAGGCAATATTCTGAGTACTTTACACATATTAACACACAAATTTAATCCTCATAACAGCTTTGTGAGATAATCACGATTACCCCTCTATTACAGGTGAGCACACTGAAGGATAGAGATGTTGAATAAGTTGCTCTTATGAAAAGGCATAGTCTCTGGTCTCAACAGCATAATTTCAGGTGGAATATACAACTTACTCTGTGGCATGATCTCGGTGTTAAGGATCTTATGGAGCACCATGTACCTCATTCCCCAGTCATTCTCTCTATACCTGACTCAGATTTGAAATACTACCTAGGAAGAAAACTGTGCTAGAGCCAGGAACTTGAACTCCAGTTCTGGCCCTGCAGTTTATAC